AATCTCCCCCCAACCCTGATGTCAGTCCCATTCTGCAACAGTGGCACTATGCAGTATTTGTCCTTTTGTGACTGAGATATTTCACTCAGCATAATGTCCTTCAGGGTCACCCATTTTTAATAATATTGCATGAGTTCCTTGTTTTTCAATGCAGCATAGTTTTCCATTGTGTGAACTTACCAGAGCTGCTCTATCCATTTGTTTGATGATGGGCCATTTTTTTTTTAATGGGGTAAATCAAAATAATTAGTCACAGATGCATGCTGTTTCTCACAGCAATAAAATGCCCTGACTTCTGTCTCTTGATCAGATATATATTTACAGTGTTACATGGATCAAGTCTTTTTACCTGTAAATCTTAATATCTATTTATGTAAAGTGAGACCATTTGTTTTTTGCAACAACTTCACTGAGGTACATACCAAAAAATTACCCATTCCAACTTTGTAATAGAATGATTTTCAGTAGCCTTAGTTATATCAGTTTTTAAAATATTTTTTTTATCTCCCAATGAGCTCTCTCATAACCATTTATCTTCAAGGCCCATCCCCTCCATAGCTCCAGGCACCCACCAATCTGCTTTCTGTCTCCATTACTTTGTTTTTTATGCACAGTTTACAAGAAGAGGGAAGGGAAGTAACTTCTTGATCACTGATTTACTTCTATTTCCCTCTCCCACATAAAAATTTCTTGAGTGCTAATAGTTTCTTTGGGGAGAGAGTCTCAGAGTCATACTGAAAGGGTGGAGAAGTCAGGAGGAAGAAGAGGACAGTCCAGAGGAGACTGTGTGGGTAACAGTTGTCCCTCCAAGGGGCAAGGGAGAGGGAGTTGAGGGAAGTGAGCAGAGAAAATGAGAAAGACTTCCTGGTAGGAATATTCTCGAGCAGCCACGCTTCTGTGGGGACCTTCAAACAAACAGCCTTGATGGCACTGAGACAGACCATTGGACTGTGGGCTAATTGCTCCGTGCAGTTCAAACACGAAAACTCCAGAGGAGAAAGATGTGGCCGTGTCCTGCTGTAACGGTGGTGGTAGAGGCAGAGGTTGTGGAGGTGGTAGTGGTGTGGTGGTGGTGGTTGTGTACCATAGAGTCGGAACCGACCCATAGCTGACCCTGGGGTGGGTTTCCAGCACAGGAGAAGGCTGCCCATCCTTCTGCTTTGTGTCCTATACGGTCACCATGAGTCATAATTGACTCAATGGTCACTTGGTGACCTTCAGGGTCAATGTATGGGGAACACACTCCAAGTATAGCAACAGCTTTTTAGAACTGAAGTTTTAGATTATTTATCACTTCTTAGAGGAATATGTAATCATGTGGTAGTTAGTAAGTGTTGGGACAAATGACATTCACAGGACCATCTTCCAAATCTCTGTGTTAATAGAGTGGTCTGCGACTTTACATAAAATGAGTGGATTTTCCTTAAATCTAGGTTTCTTCCCCTCTGTAAGGATTTATGTTTGCTGTCAGGCGTCCTCCCCCTGGCCCTGCGGGGAATGTGATGCTAACAAGAAGGGAGTGGGCCACGGAGCAGGTCAGCAAGGGAAATAAAGGACACGCACTCTGGATCTAAGACCTTAAATTATAAACACATGAGCTTCTACGGGGTGACTCACACAGCACACAAAATACACCACAAAGAGGAAAATGTCGTTGAAGAACTGGTTGTTCTCCAGCTATTGAAAAATATCTCCCCTGATTAAAAAAAAAAAAAAAAGATAATCTCTTCAGCAAAGAGAAATCTTCATTCGAATGGCCCATTGATACTATTTGAAGTTTTTCTCTGTACATTTATAAAGCCTGTGTAATGGTTTGCATAGCTGATAGACCAATATCTTACCTTCAGTATCAGAATAAATGAAAAAACAAAATATTTATTTATCTCTTATACTTTTAGAATGTAGATATCTTTCCCAAGTTAAGGTTATTAACTGTCGTTAACAACACACTGTTAACTGTTGTTGTTGTTATTGTTAAGTGTCATCAAGTCACCTGCAACTCACAGCCACCCTGTGTACAACAGCTCTGAATCGTGCTCTATCCTGCGCCAGCCTCATGTCTCTGACACACCTACCCCAGTAACCTAGTCACTAGGTCAATCCATCTCATCTAGGGTCTCCCTCTCTTGTTCTATCCCTCCACCCTCCACGTAATATCTTTTTTTCTTCACAGTGTGGATGCCTTAAAACTAATAACCACTTAAAAAATATTTCCTCACAGTAATTCTGTGTTCATTATTATTTTTTTCCAGCAATAAAGATACTTAATCCTGTTGTTGCAAAGTGCTGTCAAGTCAGAACCAGTTCAGAATGGGCCTTCCAGTGGATTTTCATAGGCAGTAGATCACAAAAGAAAATTTTCCATCTTTCTCCCATGGAACATCTAGTGTATTTGAACCTTATACCTTTGGGCTGGCAGTACGGCTTCTTGCCACCAGGCCACCAGAGCTCCCTATTTTACCCTGTGTCATACAGAAATAAAAAGGATCTCAGTGATCCACTTACTAGGTCTCCCTTAACGAAAAATACTTCATTTCTTCATGGTTGAAGTTTAAGTAGAACAATCTCATCTTTTACACAAAATTGAATTTGTATAGTCTTAACTCTTTTTGGTAAAGCATTAAAACCCATTAAGATAGGGAAATTGAAAGTGAAAATTGGCTTGAAATTGTAAAATTACCTCCTTTCTAACCTATTTGGAGTTTGTTCATACCCTCCACAGTTTTCCCCCCTTCTCTTGTCCTTGTTGTGTCTTGTCTCATTAATCCTAATTTGTAGTGACCTTACAGGACAGAGTAGAACTACCCTAGATGGTGTTCGAGGCTGTAATATTGACAGGAACCGATTACCACCTTCTCTCTGTCTCTGTCTCTCTGTCTCTGTCTCT